ATAGAACCCTAACCCTATAGGACCTAGGCTGGTATAGAACCCTAACCCTAAAGGACCTAGGCTGGTATAGAACCCTTAACCCTATAGGACCTAGGCTGGTGTAGGACCATAACCCTATAGGACCTAGGCTGGTATAGAACCCTAACCCTATAGGACCTAGGCTGGTGTAGGACCATAACCCTATAGGACCTAGACTGGTGTAGGACCATAACCCTATAGGACCTAGACTGGTGTAGGACCATAACCCTATAGGACCTAGACTGGTGTAGGACCATAACCCTATAGGACCTAGGCTGGTGTAGGACCTACCTACAGTAGGTGTTACAGAGAAAGGGGCTGGAGAGAAAAACTAACTGCATGGTTGTGTTTCCTCATACATAAGAGAACACTTTGAAGAACCCTTTTTGGTTCGAGATAGAACCATTTTGGTTCCAGGTAGAACCCTTTTGGGTTCCATGTAAAACCCTTTCCACAGAGGGTTCTACATGGTACCCAAAAGGGTTCTACCTGGAACCAAAAAGGGTTCTACCTGGAACTAAAAAGGGTTATCTTATGGGGACAGCCAAAGAACCCTTTTGGAACCCTTTTTTCTAGGTGTGTATCCTGCTGTACAACTACAGAGGAACTACGGAGGAAGGGGAAGAGAAACCGGAGGGAGGGAGGGAAAAGAAGAGGGACATGTGTAAAGACTTAGTGAAATGACTGATATTCCCCTTCTCACACACACACTCAGACAGCATGACTCACCATGGTCAGACTCAGTGAGCTATGAACAGGCTCAGTGTGTGTTTGTCCAGCTCCACTGATCAATCTCACTGAAGACTTCACCAGCTACCCCTTCCCCCTACCCAATCGTCCCCAAAATCAAACAATATGGTGGAAATCCTCTTTCCTGTTATGAATGGAGCACTAAGCAGCCTCAGGACCTACTAAGTCCTACAGCGTCCAGACAGCCCTTTCCACTGCAGTAAGGATGAGTGCCAGATTTATAACAGCCTTATCATGCTCACTTTGGTAACCTGTGAAAACTCAAAAATCATTACCCTTCCTAATCACAATTCCTGACTAGACTGCAGGCTTTCAAGCACGCCTCTAAAATATTACTGAACCAAAGCTTCTGGTGTAGAAGAAAAATACTTTGTATAATCTGTTTATTTTTCTCGTTAAACCGTATGAATTGCAGCGGAGAGCAGCCCAAGCACACATCTGGAGGTAGTTATACTACAACACAACACAAGGGGGTGCCTGAGGACACACAGCCAGGGCTGGCAGGAACAGCAGCACCATCTGCTCTGTCTTTCAGGACTTCTCTCCAGGCTGCTCTCTGCAAATCTTCCTCCACAGTACTCAGAGTTCTGTTTTTCGAAGGGCATTACCTCCTTCACACTAAAAGCTGTGATGCATGTCAAAACAAAGCATTCCACAAACGTAACATCTTACTTTATATCATCAATGTAACATCAATGTCCTCTGTAGCTCAATTGGTAGAGCATGGCGCTTGTAACGCCAGGGTAGTGAGTTCGATCCCCGGGACCACCCATACGTAAAAATGTATGCACACATGACTGTAAGTCGCTTTGGATAAAAGCGTCTGCTAAATGACATATTATTATTATATCAATAGTGAATCTGTAAGTGCTCTATATTCTATTTTGTATGATCCATGTATTGTTGAAAACTTTGGTCATCAACATTTTCAAACAAATGTAGATCTCTGGTGCAGTCTGTCAACCAACATGCAGCTCCAGTTGATGTTAGACTTCCCTCTGTTGGTGACAAGCATCAAGTTATTATTCCAGGCAGCTCCTCCAATCTGTCCTGTCACAGGTTGTCTCTCTGACAGGTTGTCTCTCTGACACGTTGTCATAATCATTGAGGCGGAAACCAAAGATGGTAAACAAATAAGATAGTTTACTCAGGCTGTTTACCATTGGAAAAAAATGGTCAAGGTTCCTGTTAAACTCAACTCCACGATTTACAATGGAGTTGAGCGGCGACTAGTGTTGCCGGAATGGAGCTCCGACGTCAAAATACTAAGTTACTAAGGTAACATATTGAATTGTTTTCAGATGTGGAATTATTTTAAGATGGTCTAGGTCCATTTAGCTATTTGAGTTAGAATTTGAGGATTGCATTTTTTTTTTACATTATTTGATTAAACATTGAATTTGGCCTTTCTGCTATTAGCCCATAGAAACACATTGAATAACAGATTCATACATGGAAAAACAGAGTCTAAAAAATATCTAAATGAATTTTGTTTTGAAGTATATGACTGAGAGACATAAGAAAGATCAGGAAACAATTAGTTATTTTTTGGGACACATATTTAACCCCTTTTTAGTAGCTAAACGATTTCCATATACACGGAGTGTACCAAACATTATGAACACCTGCTCTTTCCATGACAGACTGACCAGGTGAATCCAGGTGAAAGCTATGATCCTTTATTAATGTCACTTGTTTAAATCCACTTCAAATCAGTGTAGATGAAGGGGAGGAGACAGGTTAAAGAAGGATCTTTAAGCCTTGAGACAATTGAGACATGGATTGTGCATGTGTGCCATTCATAGGGTGAATGGGCAAGGCAAAATATTTAAGTGCATTTGAACGGGGTATGGTAGTATGTGCCAGGCGCACCTGTCAAAAACTGCAACGCTGCTGGGTTTTTCACGCTCAACAGTTTCCCATGTGTATCAAGAATGGTCCACCACAAAGGATATCCAGCTAACTTAACACAACTGTGGGAAGCATTGGAGTCAACATGGGCCAGCATCCCTGTGGAACACTTGCGACACCTTGTAGAGTCCATGCCCCAACGAATTAAGGCTGTTCTGAGGGCAAAAGGCGAGGGGGGAGGGGTGTAACTCAATATTAGGAAGATGTTCTTAATGTTTTGTACACTCAGTGTGTACTTCCACTCGTTTTTTAAACTGGTATTGGGCTACCTTCAGACGAGTCTAGTGAGGCTTTTAGGCATCATATAGCAAAACAACTGACATGTACATGTTCGTGAGAGACTCACCTTTCCATAGAGGGGTCATAATAGTCTGAGAAGGCCGATTTTAGGGATTTGTTTCATGGTCTGAAAAACACAGCTGTAGCTTTTTTCTTTATGATGCTAATTAGATTTCCGCAGGGGCTCGGAAATTGACTTTAGAGGGTTTTAAAACAGTTAGAGTATAATGGCTGTGATAGGGAAAAAATTAGGATGGATCAACAACATTGTAGTTACTCCTCAATACTAACCTAATTGACAGAGTGAAAAGGAGGAAGCCTGTACAGAATACAAATATTCCAAATGCATCTTGTTTGTAACTAGGCACTAAAGTAACACTGCATGTGTCAAAATGTGACAAAGCAATTCACTTTTTTTCCTGAATACAAAGTGTTATGTTTGGGGCAAATCCAATACAACACATTACTGAGTACCACTCTCCATATTGTCAAGCATAGTGGTGGCTGTATCATGTTATGGGTATGCTTGCAATCGTTAAGGACTGGGGAGGATAAAAAAGAAACGGAATGGAGCTAAGCACAGGCAAATCCTAGAGGAAAACCTGGTAACCTAAAACTCAAGGCCAAATCTACACTGGAGTTGCTTACCAAGAAGACAGTGAATGTTCCTGAGTGGCCGAGTTACAGTTTTGATTTAAAGATAAGTACAGAACATATTATAGCTGAACAATACTCAAATACCTCATGAGGAAAGACAATTATCATAGTTGCCGGCAGAGATTAAGCGAAACAACATCGATGATGAGCACACTGAGATTGTGGTGTAATTGTTTGTGTGATTGCAACAGTGGTGCCACACACCATGTGCTTGTGGCTGAAGCATATGACATGGCTGAAGCATATGACATGAACTAAGCATACAGTTTTAGATCATCCCAGTCACATAGGCTCTGTGGCCTATGCTGACACAAACACCACAAGACAATCCCAAAGGAAGGCTGCCCACATCTGCACGGTCAGTCCCTCACCATAACATAATTAAGCAATAAGGCCCGAGGGGTTGTGGTATATATGGCCAATATACCATGGCTAAGGGCTGTTCTTAAGCACGACGTAACGCAGAGTGCCTGGATACTGACCCTTAGCCATGGTACAGTATATTGGCAATATACCACAAACCCCAGAGGTGCCTTATTGCTATTATAAACTGGTTACCAACAAAAATAAATGTATACGGTCTGATATACCATGGCTGTCAATCAATCAGCATTCAGGACTCGAACCACCAAGTTTATAATACCTACTATACAATAGAAGGTCAGAACCAGGTGGTCAGAAACCGAGAATGACAAGGGTATGAAACAATATGGCTTCCCATAGGAAGAGATATGTTTCTAGAGCTGTGATGGAGGGCAGTGCCCTGGCCCTGCTGGTGTGGATGTATCGTGCTGGTAATAAGACACTTCCTCTCCCTCCCTTCACACTTCTGCTGCTGCTGTCAGAGAGGGACTATGTTATTTCTGCCTCCCTCTCTGCGGCGTGTTTCTCACCCCTCATATCACTCCTCTCAGGGGAGAGAAGATACAGTGAGGTCATCTTTATTTTCTCCTCGTTAAACAGGGTAGGGCAGGGCAGGTTAGATCACACTCAGGCCAGGGCATGGGTAAGCACACACACACAGTGAACTGCATGGCCAGAGCTTTCCCATATCTGCCAACACGACTTTTAGAAGACAGAGTTCAGCTTGTCAGGCCGAAAAGTGCGTCATGTTTGTACGGACATCCCCAAAAGTGAAGGCAAACAACATGAAAAATGTTTTATTTAGTGGGGTCAGGTGGGACTGCTTGGCATGGAACAGCGATAAGATAATCACTTCCCAGAAACAAATGATCTCCCAGTCATGAAAAATGTTACATTAATCAGACTACATGTGACTTCCCTCTGATTTGTGGGGACTGGAGTCAGAGTAAGTTTTTACTTATGTTCCAAATTATTAAATAACCTGGGACTGTAAATTCATAAACACATGAACATAAACTCACCAGTGTAGAGTCTGTCGTGTCTGAGAGGGATTCCTTCTTCCCCTTCTCTTCTCCCTGGGATGGACAGACTATGTCTTTGTCTGGGGAGAGATACAGTAAGAGACATAGGTATGACACAGGTATGATGACACAGGAAGAGGAATATGAAGCTATGATCTTATGACCTTAAGGACAAACTAACACTGAATCCTCTCAGTAAATGAAACTGCCTTGACAACCATTTGGATAGCAACAACAAACCAGCTGTCATGCAGGAAGAGAGGAGGTAGGTGGGGGGAAACGCAGTCATTTCTATTAGGGAACAATGATGTTGCTGAGCATCAGTCAACACTGCACTGATATTTATACCACATCAGTGTAGATGTAGAGGAACTCCTTCATATTCCCATCCAGACGGGAAAGGGCCAGGGCGTAGCCATGTGCTTACAGACCGCCAAGATTTGGCCCGGGGCTCCGAGTGGAAGACCACCGTTCAGGCTACATCTATTTTCAGAGCCTACTGTAAGGTCTGGTGAGATCATTGTATTCTTGCTTGGATACACAGACTGGCATACATAAATAAACAGCCAGCTCCATTCACATTCACATAGCGCTCTAGATGACTGATATGAAGCCTTTGACCTTTTCAGACTGACTCAGGGACCAGAGGCCAGAGTCTCATGTTATGTTTCTCCTGAAAATCAAGCTTCTCTAATTCACATACTGAAGCTGACAATATTGTGGACACACAGACTTAGCTAAGTTACATTTCGTTCTAGTTTCTGTTTGGGGACTTGTTTGAGGTAAATGTTCTGTAGTTCAACCTCACCAGAATGTCATGACAAATGACAGCCTCTCTTTAGCAGCAGTTGACACATAGCTGAACTAATGGTCACATGCTCAGAGTCATACGACAGTGTGCTATGCCTCAGAGCAGGCGGTGCACTTCAACAGCATTTTAGGGATGCACACTGGGCCTGAATTTAGCAGCTGGGCTAGGCTCAGATACTGTATACAGTAGAGCAGGGGTCTCCAACAAGCAGATCACCAGCTAACAGTAGCTCGCAGCCATCCTCAAGTTTCACGTTTTTAATTAGTCGTATGTATGGGAAACGCATGGTATACATCGTCCAACGAAATGCTTACTTGCAGGTTCCTTCTCGACAATGCAACAACAATAAGAAATAATAAAAGATAAGAATATGAACTATGAGTAGCTTGCCAAGCAATTCTGAAAGTACTTGCATTTTTTTCATGTGTTCAATCGCAAACTGTCAAAAACATAAAGCTCCCAGCTACTATCCAATCAAAGCCACATTTACATTATCCCACTCCTGGTTCCCACTATTGGCTTAAAAAGCCAAACGTAACACATTATCTGCCAATTAATTTCCAGCAATATAGCTCGTCTGTCTGTTTGGTGTGCGCATTTGTCTATCACTCTGTATGTAGCCAGTTAACGATGCTAATGATAACCGTCTTGTGTGTAGACAGAAAGACATTCCCCAAAAACCTTCTCAATTAAATGTTAAAGTAGGCTTCCCTGACAGAACGATATGATTATTTGTGACAGTGCTGCAGCAGTAGGCCTAAAAGCAGAAACATTCCTAGACCGACACACTCTCTTGCTTAATGCACAATTAAAGGGGAACTACACTAAAAAATCTAATTTGTTTGGTTTTTTCCCTAGACCTCAAAAATGGTCTTCTGATGCATTGACATTGACTCAGAACATACATTTTCATTGTTTCTCTATGAATAATTGTAATATTGAGTAAAAAGATTCAAACCAGGAAAAATTCTACAAAGAAAACAGAATTACGGAAAATACAAAAGATAGTTTTATGGGGCCCCTTATAGTTGTTTATTAACCATTATTTTACCAGGTATATTGACAGAAAACACATCTCTTGTACACAAAGGACCCGGGGGAGATTAGAAGAATGTGCCTATTTGAAAGCTATAAAAAACAATGATGCTAGAAAAGGTTGGAGACCCCTGCAATAGAGGGATGTAAATGAAATGTGAGCTTCAGCTTAGCCTCAAATCTGTTTGAATTTCAGCTAGTGCTGATAGTCATCTTCTTCTTTGAAATATTTCAACTGTATACTAAAAGCTTTTTTCCTCTTCTTCTTGAGCAATAAATTAATAGCTATACAAGCAAAACAAAGACAAAAACCTAAAAATCAGGATATAAAAGGGTCATAACTAGCTACAAACTAGCCATATGTATATTATTATGTGGCCTTACCTTTCACAGGCTTGTCAAGCTGTTTTAAAGCTTCAGAACGCTCCTCTTTAGTATCCAGTGTTCTCTCACACACTCCATCCAGGCTTTCCAGTGTGTCTGAAGACTGTAGGCCAAAGGACACACCAATGACTCCTTCCACAGAGGAGCTGTACTGCTCGTCACCCAGGCCTGTTCCACTGTCTAGCTCCAAGGGGGAAGTCAGCTCTGGACTCAGGGATGTACCACTGTCTGGGTGTGTAAGGGTGGTCAGGGTCGAGTCACTGGGTGTATGAGTATGTTCAGGTGTGGCTGGTGTGGCTGGTGGGGCCGGGCTCTGTGGGATGACCTCCTGATGTGTCAGCTCTGAGGATCTCTCTGGGGAGATAGAGGAGGAGGAGGATATGACTTCAGCACTCTGTCTGTCCACAGCCCTTTCATCATGTAACAACGTGTGTGAGTGGGAGTCTGCACACTCTCTGCTGGCTTCTACACTTTCTTCCTGGGTCAGACTCAGGCCTGGTAATCTGGCCTCCACTCCATTCTCACTCCCATGTGTGGTATTGGACAGATGACTGTTCTCCTCTCCCTGTCTAACATGAGGCTCATCCGCTCCCTTTGAGGGGTTCTTGACCATCACATCCTCCTCTAACGGACCTGCTGAGACAGTCGGACCCCTGTCTGAGGTGCTAAGGTTCTCAGTGGCCTCAGACACCATGACCCCTGATCTTGGTGCAGTGTCTTTGGGTCCGGTCTGATGCTCACTCTGGCTCTCAGCGGCAGCTTCCTGTACCTGGCCTACCTCCAGCATGGAGTTGGAGTTGCATTGTTCTAGGTTTGCTACAGCAGTTGCTACTGCTACAGCCACCACTGCTACTGCTGTGGCTGCTATTTCCTCTCTACACGCCAGAGAGTCTGCCTCTTCTAACGATGCCCACTGTACACACACCTTCTTCCCAGGGGCCTCCTGTCCTGTGACTGTCCCCTCCTTAGACAGTTTGTCTGTGGAGCAGCCGACCGACTGGATGAGTTCCCCCTCATCACGAGAGGATGTGTGGCCCGTGACATCACAGTGTTTTTGCCCCATGGTATCTCCACTCTCTCCATCCTCAGCTGTTCTGCTGGCTGAGTCACTGGACTGCTGTTCCTCACATTCCTGCCCAGCCTCGTGGCCCTGGCTGTGGGCGCCGTCCTGGTCCTGCCTTGGCTGTGGTGGGGGTGCCACTACCTCAAATGTGTCCTTAACTTGCTGATCCAGGACCTGCTGCTCACTGGGTTTGTGTGCTGTAACGTTACCTGGTCCGTGTGAATGGCTGCTCTCACTCTCTCCATCCGCCATAATGGGGCTCTGCTTCATGCTGTTTGTGTCAGTCTCTCCACTTCTGCTGCTGGTTGTCTCAGTGCTACCGTTGGTCTGTTGGCTGGGGTTTCCTGCCTCTGTCTTTCTCTCGTCTGTACCGCCCTGATCACCGCCTCTCTCAGTCTCAGACCCCCGGGTCTGGTTGCTGTTATCGGCCCACTCGGGCTCCACAGAATAACTTGTCACTGCTGTAGTGGTTTCCTGTCTTTGTTCGGGGTCCTGTGACTCTACAGCCTGTGCCTCATGGCGGCTCACAGCTCCCGTCATTGTCTGAAGAATACATTCAGAGGTGGCCTCAGCATACTCCACCTCAACCTCACCGCTATGTCCGTCGTGCTGTCCATTCTCCACAGGAGCCCCAGACTCCATCTCCTGGATGTTCTCAGGCTCGCCCTGCCTTTCCATAGTCCTCTGAGCCCTCGTGTCCCCACAGCTACTGCCTGTAGTCCTCAGGGGCCGATGCTTAGCTTCCGTGTGTTCCGAGTGTTCCTGAGACTGTGCGTGGCCCATGGCTGGTGAAGCCTTCGTCGGAGCAGCAACAGCCTTATCGTACGTCTCAGTCTCTGCTCTTCTCTTCTCTCTCTCTTCCTGGTTCCTTTTACAGCGCCCTGCCTTGCTGCCCTGCGTGGCAGTGATTACGCCTGTCCTCTCTCTATCAGCTTCCTCCTGCTGGTCTCCACAGGATGGTGCGCTGAAAGCTGGAGTCTCGCCCTCCCTCCACTGCTGGGCATGGCTGTGAGGGGGCTGTGACTCTGTGGCTGAGTGTGCTGATGTGTTGCTGATGCCACTGGATCCTGCTGTAGTGTTCAGCTCGTATGGTGACTGCTGCTGGAGCACATGATCTTCCTACAGTACAAATAGAAACACAGTGTGAATAACTGTCCCACAAATGACACAAATAATAAATCACACACTATTTATTATACACACACACACATATTAACTTCCTGTAAAGATAAGACGTACACAAATCTTTCAGAGCAAACAAACTGATAGCATACAGGTAACTCACAATAGGCCATGTTTTCTCTTTTCGCAGATGTTAATTAGCTAGCTAGTGCACACAAGATTTGGTTGAAGGATCTGAGAGTACATACTGTACTGTATGAGTGTCACGCTCGTTGATGAACGGGACGGACCAAGGCGCAGCGTGATATGCGTACATGTTTATTTTTCAGAATAAACAGAATGACAAAACAACAAACGAAACGTGAAGTCCAAGGTACACAAAACAAACATACCTAACACGGAACAAGATCCCACAACCCACTAGTGCCAATAGGCTGCCTAAGTATGGTCCCCAATCAGAGACAACGAGCGACAGCTGCCTCTGATTGGGAACCACACCGGCCAACATAGAAATAGACATACTAGATAGAAAACATAGAACTACACAACATAGAATATACACACCCTGACTCAACAAATAAACATCCCCTGACAGTACCCCCCCCCCCCCCCCCAAAGGTGCGGACTCCGACCACGCCACATAAACATAACAGGGTAGGGGCCGGGTGGGCATTCCGCCTCGGAGGCGGATCCGGCTCAGGGCGTGACCACCACCTATTCTCCGCCACCCTGTTGCGCCCCTGGTCAGGTCTGGACCTCGGCGCGCTGCTTCCCCTCTCCTTGGTCCCACGAAGTACCAAGCCCTGTCTGGACCCTGGTGTGGGAGACCCCGAACCTGGAGAGGGGCTGACGTCTGGGTCTGGACTGGAACCGCTGACTGGAGCTGGACCCGACGACGGTGGAGCGAACTGCTCTGGCTCCGGAGTGGAGCCGCTGACCGGAGCTGGATCACGCACCGGTGGAGCGGACTGCTCTGGCTCCGGAGTGAAAACCGCTGACCGGAGCTGGACTGGACCCTGGTGTAGCGGATTGCTCTGGCTCCGGAGTGGAGCAGCTGACCGGTGCCGGACCAGGCACCGGTGGAACAGGCACGGGCTGTGCCGGACTGGACACACGCACCACTGGCTTGGTGCGGTGAGCAGGAACGGGCCGGACCGGGCTGACGACGCGCACCACTGGCTTGGTGCGGGGAGCAGGAACGGGCCGTACCGGACTGGCGACGCGCACCACTGGCCTGGTGCGGGGAGCAGGAACAGGCCGGGCCGGGCTGGCGACGCGCACCACTGGCTTGGTGCGAGGGTCAGGAACAGGCCGGGCCGGGCTGGCGACGCGCACCACTGGCTTGGTGCGAGGGGCAGGAACAGGCCGGGCCGGCTGGCGACGCGCACCACTGGCTTGGTGCGAGGAGCAGGAACAGAACGGGCCGGGCTGGCGACGCGCACCACTGGCTTGGTGCGAGGAGCAGGAACAGGCCGAACCGGGCTGGTGACGCGCACCACTGGCTTGGTGCGAAGAGCAGGAACAGGCCGGGCCGGGCTGCGAACACGCACCACTGGTCTGGTGCGAGGAGCAGGAACGGGCCGGACCGGACTGCGAAGGCGGACTGGAGGTCTGGAGCGGAGAGCTGGCACAACCCGTCCTGGCTGGCTGCCCACTTTCGCACTACACATGCGGGGCGCTGGCACAGGACGCACTGGGCTGTGCACGCGCACTGGCGATACAGCTCGTAGAACAGGCGCAGGATATGCGGGACCGAGGAGGTGTACTGAAGACCAGGAGCGTTGAGCCGGCACACCCCGTCCTGGCTGAATGCCCATCTTCGCACGACACGTGCGTGGTGCTAGCACAGGACGTACAGGACTGTGCCGGAACACTGGCGACACAGTACGTAGCTCCGCATAACACGGAGCCTGCCCAGTCACACGCTTCCTCGCGTGAGTACGGGGAGTTGGCTCTGCTCTAACACTAGGCTCCGCCAACCACCTTTTTAGCCCCCCCCCAACATTTTCTTGGGGCTGTCTCTCGGGCTACTTCCTCGGCCGGCACCTTCTGCGTTGCCGCTGCTCCTCTCTATACCGCGCCTCCACTGTCTCCTCCCAAGGACGGCGATCCATCCCGGCCTGAATCTCCTCCCATGTCCAGGAACCCTTTCCGTCCAGGATCTCCTCCCAGGTCCAGGCTGTCTGCTCCTGGACACGCTGCTTGGTCCTCGTTTGGTGGGATCTTCTGTCACGCTCGTTGATGAACGGGACGGACCAAGGCGCAGCGTGATATGCGTACATGTTTATTTTTCCGAATAAACACAATGACAAAACAACAAACGAAACGTGAAGTCCAAGGTACACAAAACAAACATACCTAACACGGAACAAGATCCCACAACCCACTAGTGCCAATAGGCTGCCTAAGTATGGTCCCCAATCAGAGACAACGAGCGACAGCTGCCTCTGATTGGGAACCACACCGGCCAACATAGAAATAGACATACTAGAATATCACCATAGAAATATACAACATAGAATATACACACCCTGACTCAACAAACAAACGTCCCCTGAGTCAGGGCGTGACAATGAGCCCTTTGCTCCATTAGTAGATGTAAGGAATAAGTCAAGTAAGTCATGATTTAAAGCAACAAAATGCGAGAGTTAAAAGCAGACAGAGTTAAAACAGGAACAGAGTTAAAACAGGAACAGAGTTGAAAGCAGAGTTCTATAGCTCACCTTCTTGTCTCTGTGGCGCTGTATGAGTTTCTGTAGCTCCTCCACCTCTCCCTTTAGGCTGGGCGGAGGTTTCCCTAGCAACGTGTCCACCGTCAGGGTGTATGTGTTCAGTTTGGGGTGGTGCTGCAGCACTCGGCCTCCTGGGTAACACTGCCTCTCTTCCGTCTTTATCTGGGTCTCCGACGAGGTCTCAACCCTGCCCAACACAATCACATCACATAGCACTGATTCAGCATTCAGCACCACTACCTACGCCCATAATATATCACCTAGTGTAAATGACAGGTTCATTCCCAGGGTAGGAAGGCACTGGATACATGGTGTACTACCAAACTTTTCATCAAATCGACCGCCAACCTCCAAACTGGTTCAGCTTCATTGTATTGCTACTTCTACTCCGTCAGATATCTGGTATTTAATTAATTGTTCTATGGTATCAGTGGAATTGAAAAAGAAAACACTACCCCTCCCTTTCTAATCTACTTCATGTGAAAACACTTCTACTGAGTAACAAACATGGCTGAGCTAAAATTAAGTTCTAGACTAAATGTGTCTTGTAATGGGTAAACCCAGGCAAGGACGAAGGGTCTACAGTAGTGTATTGTCCTGTTGAGCTGGCTCTGGGTCTGTTTCTGCCTGGGTAGTCAACTTTTCTACACTCTCTCAATGAGTGGAACTGACCCCAACTGACTCAGGGGTGATGATGTCACTGCTGGTACACTCTCGTGTGAGACACAACAAAACAATCTGATCGAAACAAGGCTTTGTAAACAAAAGGCATGAGGGAGTATTTAAGTAGATGGATGGGATGAGTAAGATCCTCCCCCTCTAGCCCCAGCCCCATGAAGCCCCTGGAACAAGAGTGCAGACCTGGGTTCAAATACTATTAGAAATCATTTAAAATACGTAATATGTGCTTGATTGAGCTTGCCTGGCTTAATGGACCATTGGAACAGTCCCAAAACAGCAAACCCCGGCCATATGGTACTCCATGCAGGTTAGAGCGAACACTAAAAGATTTCAAATATTATTTGAAGCCAGGTCTGCAGTAGTGATGAGATCTGGGGCTGTTCTCACCTGCCTCATGGTGCTCAGTGCCAACGCAGGGCAATAAAGGGCTGAATGGGTGTCCATGGCAACCCCCTGACATCACTCAGTGGGGACTGAAAGGCAAGACGCAGGGCGGGGGAAGAACAGAACAGAGGCACTTTGTGGGGCCTGAGTTGGAAACCTGAACGCACCCAGGAGGTAGCCTCAACTCTCTCCACATCCAGGGGAGATCTCTTAACAACACACAGAACTGCACTATAAATGTTAGAGCTTTTACTACTTTATTACTAGATTACTAGTATACAACTTAACCAATTTATTCCCACAGTCAGCAAGTGGAATTTGCACACGTATGCTGTCTCCAGTGAGTTGGGATTCAGTCATGACACCTAACTGTTCTCCTGTGCCAAATAACAGCAGGCCCTCTGCTTCTCCCTGACCTGAACTAATCCTGTCTCAGAGCATTTAACACCAGCACCCAGGTGACTCAATCTCTCTACTCCCAGCTTAACTCAGGACTATTTCAAAAACATAACAGCCTCCCCAAACAATATCAGACAGATGAACACGGCTTGGTGTCCAGGTAAGGAGAAAATGCTGGTCTGGTATGGAGAATAGCTACAGTTCTCTTCTGTAACACACACACTAACTCTCTGAGGAGCTCCCACCAGGCCCTTCTCTTTCCTATGGTTATAAGGTTTCACTGCCTCCACCAAACCAGGTCACCAGGGGACAGCCTGTGTGACGCAGACAGACCGAGAGTCACCATTGCTGTGGCCTGAGAGTGTCCCTGGGCCCACTCTCTACTGTTCTTGGTCAGCACAGGATAGCATATCTTTGTCTGGGACTAGGCGACATCTCAACCTCCATGTTATAGAGAAAGCTGGTGATCTCAGGTGCTCTGTAATGAGGTCACTCATATGTGCCCAGCTGGAGAACAGATCACCACAGTGCCAGTGGAGGTTGTGGTTACTGTCTACCAATAGGACAGAACTACCTCCGCTAGATAAACTCTGATAAAGCTCTGACAGTTTGTATACAAGGACCCTAGAACCTCTATTTCCCGCCACTTGTACATTCATTTTTTTGTGGTAACACTGTCATCTCTGTTTGAGGGATGTAGCCTACACGTGGGGATGCTGAGTTAACATTGGTGTAGTTTAGAAAACAAAATGGTGCCTGGTGTTATTGTACAGCTCAGATGGTTCACAGGGCACATGGAACCAGTCCCATACAGCTATCAAAGCTGGTGAGAACGCTGTGTAGTCTACGAGCTGTCATCTAGCACGTACACATATCCTCCTAATTATAGGTACATTTTGTGATTTTGTCCCACGAAAAAAGACCCATACTAGTCTGACGTGATGTACTTTAACAAATTGCATATAAATAAAGTTGGATTCTGTTGTGATTTCTGTGCTGACATCAACTGTTTACAGCAGCAGTCCGGAGTTTGTCCTTGGTCTGTCTGCTTATCTCTGTGTTCCCCCAACACTCCAAACACATTTCAACATCCCCAACAAGCCCCTCACTAACCATAGAGCTGTTCCCATTCCCATGGTTACATAAAGACCTCTCGTTGATTTGGATTCCAAATCCTAGTTTGCTAGCTAATGTCGAAGAATATATGGTATGTGTTTCAAAAAGAGGAAGAGTGCTGTGGAGAGTGCTGTGTGTTTCATTCACAGATAACACTCTGAAAACAGCAGAATATATTATTACACTGTGTTAGTTCAGTAAGTCCGGCTTTTCATCATACAGTACGTCCCAAGGTTAGTAGAAACGATTGGCTAGCCAGCATACTCCCATAGAAACATAATAATAATGTATCTAAAGGTTATTACTAGTGTAATAAAGGTTATTAAAAGGTTATTCATGTTTAGGTCCTGTGTGTAGTATACAGTATGTGATCCAGTTAAGTACTTACTCAGTGAAGAGCTGCTGTAGTTGGTCGTGGCCCCTCTTCTCTGCCACGCTGACTGGTGTAGAGCCCTGCTTGTTGGGCTGTCTGAGAGCCTCTCTGCCTCCTGGCTGCTGGAGCAGGAACAGGGCCACCCTCCGCAGACCGCGCCGAGCCGCAAAGTGCAAGAGGGTCTCGTGTGGACCGGGCTCAGCTGAACGGGACACACAGGGAGGGAGAGTTACACTGGGCTCAGCCACGGTCAACAGTTACAGCCTTCTAACTAGAATACAACACAAATGCAACGATGTCCTGCCAGCAAGCATCCATCAACACTCCAGCTTCTGCTTAATATCCAACGTGTTTTCTCCACTACTGTGTGACCAATCATCTCTTTTGCAGCACAGTATGTTCATATGTAAATCCCTCAGTGCGTTTGCAGGCGGACACGGTCGTCCCTCTCTCCACTCTCCCTAACCCCTCCCACCTTTGCTATCAGCCTTAACTGATAGCCCTGTCAGTCCCGCCCCCTAACCTGTGTGACACACCGTCCTTTCTTAGTCATATGTCTAATAACCCCGCCCCCTCCTACCCTCTCACTCCTACTGGTCAGGCTGCTGATCCTCTGCTTCAATACACACTGAGTCACCAGGAAGGCCTGACTAACTGTGTGTCTAACTAAAAACCACACAGCTACAGTCCAATTCAGTGTGAGTAAGTGGTTAAGTCTTATGGAGACTTTCTCCCCACTGATCACAATGATGTAGTACGAGATTATCTGTTAAGGTGTGTTTCAGGAGGCCCTGAGTGCAGCGGAGGGTCTTGTCGATCGGGCCCGGAGATCAACATTACCATCCCAGCAGTATGAGGACACACAGTGGGAGAATTCAGAGGCTGTGAAAGAGACTGCCACAAAATGGAGTCCTACTAGAACCGTAATCTGGTATTGAGGAGATAAGGATTAGGTCCTAGCAGGGCTGAGGGTTTAACACAGTTTACACCAGGTCTAACACCAGGGGCCTCATTTATCCATCATGTGTAGGCACAAATCTGTGCGTAAACCATGCGTAGGATCATTTGCACGCAAAGTGTGAGATTTATCAATCTAAACTTTTGGTTGAGAGTGTGCATACATTTATGCACAGCATTGACCATGCTTACACACACGTGCCAAGTGGTGGAATGAGTGAACTGCTTGTCAAGCATAGAATGGGGAAAATATATGTTGACATTTTCTTAATTATTATAGTGGGCCTAATAATTAAATCATTTTTCGATTTAATTGTATTTCCATTGTAAATTCATGCAACATACAGTGGGGAAAAAAAGTATTTAGTCAGCCACCAATTGTGCAAGTTCTCCCACTTAAAAAGATGAGAGAGGCCTGTAATTTTCATCATAGGTACACGTCAACTATGACAGACAAATTGAGAATTTTTTTCTCCAGAAAATCACATTGTAGGATTTTTTATGAATTTATTTGCAAATTATGGTGGAAAATAAGTATTTGGTCACCTACAAACAAGCAAGATTTCTGGCTCTCACAGACCTGTAACTTCTTCTTTAAGAGGCTCCTCTGTCCTCCACTTGTTACCTGTATTAATGGCACCTGTTTGAACTTGTTATCAGTATAAAAGACACCTGTCCACAACCTCAAACAGTCACACTCCAAACTCCAATATGGCCAAGACCAAAGAGCTGTCAAAGGACACCAGAAACAAAATTGTAGACCTGCACCAGGCTGGGAAGATTGAATCTGCAATAGGTAAGCAGCTTGGTTTGAAGAAATCAACTGTGGGAGCAATTATTAGGAAATGGAAGACATACAAGACCACTGATAATCTCCCTCGATCTGGGGCTCCATGCAAGATCTCACCCCGTGGGGTCAAAATGATCACAAGAACGGTGAGCAAAAATCTCAGAACCACACGGGGGGACCTAGTGAATGACCTGCAGAGAGCTGGGACCAAAGTAACAAGGCCTACCATCAGTAACACACTACGCCGCCAGGAACTCAAATCCTGCAGTGCCAGACGTGTCCCCCTGCTTAAGCCAGTACATGTCCAGGCCCGTCTGAAGTCTGCTAGAGTGCATTTGGATGATCCAGAAGAGGATTGGGAGAATGTCATATGGTCAGATGAAACCAAAATATAACTTTTTGGTAAAAACTCAACTCGTCGTGTTTGGAGGACAAAGAATGCTGAGTTGCATCCAAAGAACACCATACCTACTGTGAAGCATGGGGGTGGAAACATCATGCTTTGGGGCTGTTTTTCTGCAAAGGGACGAGGACGACTGATCCGTGTAAAGGAAAGAATGAATGGGGCCATGTATCGTGAGATTTTGAGTGAAAACCTTCTTCCATCAGCAAGGGCATTGAAGATGAAACGTGGCTGGGTCTTTCAGCATGACAATGATCCCAAACACACCGCCCGGGCAACGAAGGAGTGGCTTCGTAAGAAGCATTTCAAGGTCCTGGAGTGGCCTAGCCAGTCTCCAGATCTCAACCCCATAGAAAATCTTTGGAGGGAGTTGAAAGTCCGTGTTGCCCAGCGACAGCCCCAAAACATCACTGCTCTAGAGGAGATCTGCATGGAGGAATGGGCCGAAATACCAGCAACAGTGTGTGAAAACCTTGTGAAGACTTACAGAAAACGTTTGACCTGTGTCATTGCCAACAAAGGGTATATAACAAAGTATTGAGAAACTTTTGTTATTGACCAAATACTTATTTTCCACCATAATTTGCAAATAAATTAATTAGAAATCCTACAATGTGATTTTCTGGATTTCTTTCCCTCATTTTGTCTGTCATAGTTGACGTGTACCTATGATGAAAAATACAGGCGTCTCTCATCTTTTTAAGTGGGAGAACTTGCACAATTGGTGGCTGACTAAATACTTTTTTTCCCCACTGTATCTTGACAGGCTATATATATATAATCTGACCACATCAGTGCATTTGTTACGATAATAATCCTTATAAAGTACAGCAATTTGTTAAATTAGAGGCACGTGTGAAAGTGAAACCACTGTTGAAATACTATAAAATACTGAGACAATGAGAGATGGCTGATCTTGTTGGAAGAGTTGGCACACGCTGCATTTCGCAGACAGCGTGTTTTTAGAGTCTTTTTTGCAGAAAATACAGACTGGTTTTGGGAAACGATATCTGATGAACCAATCTAATAGGATCTTTGCGGGGATGTAAGACCTACTTTAGAAAGGCAAACATGCCATTCCGGTGCACATCAAAGTGCTATCCAACCTCTGGTTTTTGGCAAGGGGCACTTTTCTGCGGGAGCTTGACGATTGGCATCTCACATCCCTCGATGAGCCAATGTTTTGGATGCAATCATCAGCAAAACGAACTGTAACATAACACCAACGCACAACAGGTTGAAGTCAAGAGGGGTTTATTTGGCATCAATGGGTTCCCAAATACGAACGGAGCAATAGGCTGCACCCACATCGCCATAAAAGCACCATCCCAAAATGAGTTCAACTATGTTATGTGATGCGCAAAAAACGCTGCTGAATGTGGTGGCCTACAGGAGGGCGCTGTTGAGGATGGATGGCTCATTAGTGAGTGTTGCCTACTCACTTGAAGTATATTTTCCATTGCTAAGGCAACTTGAATTGTCCTAATGGTCCTCTCTTTGTAGTTATGTTTTCATTTTTACTGGTCAAACCACAACTGAGGAAGCCAAATAAAACCTTTTGGTTGTACTCAATCTGAATTTTTTTTTTTTCCTAAGCTTTTTTTGGTTGCGCTGTTGTAGGCTATTTCATGGTACGCCGTTGTATATTCCCTACAGGCTTTAAAGATATGTTTTTTTTTTACCATAGATAGTTAATTAGGAGCATTTCGAAATGCAAATAGCCAAGGTTGTGCACGAGCACTGAGTCTGAGAACAATTGGTATTTATCAACAGTTATCTCCTACTACTGTGCGTATGACTCTCATAGGATTGTTTGATAAATCACACTTTTTCTATGTGTACAAACATTCTAAATTCTGTTTGAAAGTAGTATTTTAGAATAGTTTCTACGCAATATTGATAAATGAGGCCCCAGGAGTCTTGAAGCAGAGATTGTAATCACCACTGTAGAGCAGAGTAGAGGTTGTTTTTATGTTTTGGTCTCATTTTCCTGTCAGAAGCTGTCAGAGAAAAAGGGAAGTAAAACAAGAAAAACATGCACAGTATTTCGTCATACTGACAGACACACACACAGGACAAAAAGAACTAAACAAACGTTCGGAAATATGTAATACCTGAATTTACCATAATGCATGGTAATGAACCCTATAAACTCAATGGCCTCCAATGGCAGATGACAACGTCTAGACTCATTGATGGGAAATTACCAATGTGAAAAGAAAAAATCAACCCCCGTTCCAGATCTCTACTGACTCAGTTCAGTGGATCTGATTTGTAGAACACAGAGACAATATGAACATGGGCCATCATTTCCTCTTCGTCAGCCCCATTCTATGGTAGGACTCCCACTCCCACAACCAATTACAGGAGTAGGGAGAGACCCTAACAAATCTGATTTTCCACCAGTGCTGGATTCTCATGGCTGCTTCTCTCCCACAAACCCTCAGTCTAATAGACGCTGGGCGATGCGCTGGAATGCTAGCAGATCCTTTGTTGGCATTTAGAGCCCTGGCAGCCGATGTGACAAGGGATAAAACATGCCTTTAGGAGTTTTACTGTGTTTTTTATGATATTAATGCCCCGGCTGTGGCCGGGGCGCTGGGGCCGGGGGTGCCAGCAGAGCCAGCTAACAGAGAAAGCCTCTGGGACGGGCGGTGCCAGCAGAGCCAGCTAACAGAGCGAGCATCTGGGCCGGTTGGTGCCAGCAGAGCCAGCTAACAGAGAAAGCCTCTGGGCCCAGCGGTGCCAGTAGAGCCAGCTAACAGAGAAAGCCTCTGGGCCGGGCGGTGCCAGTAGAGCCAGCTAACAGAGAAAGCCTCTGGGCCGGGCGGTGCCAGCAGAGCCAGCTAAGAGAGAGAGCCTCTGGGCCGGGCGGTGCGCACAGCCAGCTAAGACAGAGAGCCTCTGGGCCGGGCGGCCTGCTGCTAGCTCCAGTTTCAAGGCTTACTGTCCCTCACACAGGTGCCCGGGACCAGCTTCAGGAAATGCCAGGGTTGGAGAAGGCATTACACAGCTGGCCCACTCTACTGGCAGGTTGGAGAGAGGAATTACAGTTGAAGTCAGAAGTTTACATACACCTTAACCAAATACATTTAAACTCTGTTTTTCACAATTCCTGACATTTAATCCTAGTAAGAATTCCCTGTCTTAGGTCAGTTCGGATCACCACTTTATTTTAAGAATGTGAAATGTCAGAATAATACTAGAGAGAATGATTTCTTTCAGCTTT